AGTTCAAGACCAGCCTGGGCTACAAAGTGAGCTCAAGGCCAGCCTGAACTGCATAGTGAGACCCTGTCTCAAAAAGACAAAAAAGGAAAAAAAAAATTGAAACCCACTGTTTGGGCAGGAGGGCTCTCCACTCTCAGACCAAGCACAGAACACTTCCGTGACCAAATGAATGAGGATATCCCTACACAAACCAAGCCACTCTACAGCTGACACCAACTATCTCTGAATTCGACTAACTTCTGACACCAACCACCTGAAGATAGTGTCAGCAACTATAGAACAAGGACTTAGTTGCCCAAGGAGGCCAAAGAAAGTCTCACATTATGACCTGAGCTTCTGACTGACCAAGTGTATATCAGGGGGTCCACAAAAATCCCTCTCTTTGGGTTTGACTAAGTAAGTAGTCAAATCACTAGGCCAGCTCACAGAACTCAAGGAAACACCTGTGCTTACTGGTTTACTAAAAGGCTATTACCATGGCACAGACAAATAGCCAGATGAAGCGATGGGGTGTATGTCAAGTATCAGTGCCCTCGCTGAACATGCCACCCTTCCTGTACTCACCTGTATTCTAAAACCTGGAAATTCATACACTTTGTTGCTCAAGAGATTTTATAAAGTTTAATTTCAAAGCCAGGCATGGTGGTGCACACCTGTAATCCCAGCACTGGGGAGGCTGACACAGGAGGATAACTGCAAGTTTGAGGCCACCCTGACCTACACAGGGAGACCCTATCTAAAAAACAAAACAACAACAACAACAAAAAAAAGAAGTAAAATAAATCTTAATCCTAAACTCAGTGTGGTGGCACATGCCTGTAATTCCAGCACTCAGAGGCCACAAACTAGAGGCCAGTCTGGGCTACACAGTGACTTCAAGCCCAGCCTAAACTACAGTGAGTCCTTTACTCACAAACAAATAAAACAACAGAAGCTATTCCTATCACTCCAGAAATTCCAAAAGTTTTAGGAACTCTGTACAAAGAACAGGGAAAAAGACCAAATATGTTTCAGTTTATCTTGTACCAGTCTTCCGTACTTTTTCTTCTACCTGTCTGGCATCACTATCCTATGGAGGGCTCTTCCTGTTCTCCCCAGTCTTGTCATTGTTTTTCTTTTCATTATATGCTCTTTCTTCATCTCATCAATTCCTGGGGTCTCAAACTAATGAGACTTAAACTAATGAGTCTTAAACTTCCTAAAAGTCTCTGTGGTCCCAATCTCAAATATACAACCACCTCTGGATAGGTCTGGTTGAACGCCTAGTAAGCACCACAGATGAGCATCTAAACTACCCAAAAGCGAACTACTCTCCCTTGTTTCCACAAACCCACCTCAAAAAAGGGCATTCCGATAACCAACTGATTTTTTTACTCTTCTCTTACCTTCCTGAGACAATCAATCACCAGCTAGCCTAACATACCTTTTACATATCTCATCAAGACCTCCTCTCCATCTCACAAACCAGACTCTTAAATCTCTTGCCTGGATTACTGCAGTTGCCTTCTACCTCCTCTTCTACGTTCAATCTATCCTCCCCGCTATACCCAAAGTTGAAATACCAAATCCTCTTGTTCAGCGTCGGGTGTGGTGGCGCACACCTGTAATCCCAGCACTTGGGAGGCTGAGGCAGGAGGATCATTGCAAGTTTGAGACCAGCCTGGGCTACAAAGTGAGCTCAAGGCCAGCCTGAACTGCATAGCGACACCCTGTCTCAAAAATACAAAAAAGTAAAAATAAAACAAATCCTCTTGTTCATAGTATATAAAAAATGCAGACTCCTTGCCATGACATTAAAAAGTCCTTAATAATCTGGGCCCTGTAATATGGAAAAATATCCTTTCCAACCTATGAGATGTCAAATGTGCCAAGTTCATGGTCTCACATCAAGGAATGAAGTCACGAAGCAAAGGAGGAAGTTGAAAGAGTTTTATTAGAAACAAGGAAACAATAGCTCCTGGACTTCCAGGACAGGTCGAAAGTGGGTGCCAGAGACTCTTTGTACAGGTCCCAAGTGGGCGCCAGAGACTCTTTTATACAGCTAAGTCACAACATGGGTCAAACTACCATCAACCTACAGAATTACAAATATAGTCACTTAGCTAGTATTTCCCAGTAGGGAATCAGGTGACGTAGCCAAGATTATAGAGAAAGAACAGAGGCATTTTTGGAATGGAAAGGGGGTAGGGGTCCAGATGTTCTGGTCATCCATGTGTCTGATGCCTATCTGGGTTACATAAACTGGACTATATGGTGCTAATTACAGTATAATCTCAAGCTGCTGCTTATCTCTAGCAAAGCAAGGCGGCCTGGCTATTGCTTTCTCCTGAGGCATGGCCCTTTTCAGATTCACCTCCAGGCACAATTCTGACATCTTTATTCTTTGTGCTGACTTCCCTAAGGCCCTATCGCTCTCTTGACTACATATTACTTGCTACACAATTTATCGTCTATGGGCCAGGGATATGGCTCAGTGGCACAAGTGCCTAGCTGGCAAGCACAAGGTCCTCAGTTAAGATTTCCAGTACCAGAAAAAAAAAAAAACTTGGCTGTCTATAGTACCTGCTCACTTCTCTATCCTCTTAGTAATGCTCCCTAATGCCTTAAGTTCAAAAGTCTATACACACTATAGTCTACCTCTCCTCCTCCCTTCCCATTTATGGATCTTTTCAAGGAATGGGCTTTTGGACCCTTTTCACATCCAGAGCTAATACAAATGCCCTTTGACTTAGGATGGGGTTACACTCTGATAAGTCTACAAAAAGTTGATGCATTTACTGCATCTAACCTACCCAACACAGTAAATACACTACAGAGCAGTGATGGGGAACCTTTCAGAACTCTCGATGATACAGGCAGCTGTGGCACAGGTCCCCTGGGTTTGCCACCCCTGCTACAGTATTGGCTGTTTACCTTGTGATCATGCGGCTAAGTGAGAGCTATGGGTTGCTGTTCAGCACCTCGAGAAAGTATTTATTATATACTGCTAGCCCAAGAAAAGATCAAGATTCAAAACATAGTTATAGCTGAGTGTGGATTACTGCTGCACCACTGTAAAGTTGGAAAAAAAAGTTAAACTGAGCCATCATAAATAAGGAGCCAGTAGGCCATGGTGGTGCACCCCAACAACCCCCAGCACTCAGGAGGCTGAGCAGGACTGCTAAGAGCTCAAAGCCAGCCTGGGGTGATTTCAAGGCTAGCCTGAACTGCACAGCAAGACCTCATCTCAAAAAAATAAATAAAAATTTAAAAAGAGAGAATAGTTAAGATCCCTTTACAGTCCTTAGGGAAGGCTTCTGAAGTACTAATATCTGGAATGAGATCTAAAGAATGATAGAGACACAGAAAGTTCTAAGTGCAAAAAATCTCTAAAATGGGAAATAGCTTAGGTTTAGTAAATAAATGCTTCTGGCTGGGAGTGGTGGTGCACACTTGTAATTCCAGCACTCAGGGAGGCTAAGGCAAGAGGATCACAAATTCAAGTACAACGTGGGCAACTGAGTGACTTAGGAAGATCTTATTTCGAAATAAAAAATAATAAAAAGGGCTGGGATTGGGGACATTGTGCCATATGAAGGTCCTAGGTTCAATCCCCAGTATGGCAAGTAAATAAATACATAACATTTCTATTGATGCAAACCATGACAGTGGTGGCACATGCTATAATCCCAGCAGTTAGGAGGCTGAGGCAGGAGGGTTGTTGCAAGTCTGAGACCAGCCTGGGCTACAAAGTGAGTTCAAGGCCAGTCTGAACTGCATAGGAGACACTGTCTCAAAAAGACCAAGAAAACCAAAATAAAAAACCCCCATGGTATCTGAGAGACCATGTATGCGGCTACTCGTCATCTATATCCCTAGTGAGACAGGGTTAGGGTATGGCAAGGCTGGGTGGGGAAGTAGTTGTGATCTGTTCATTACAAAATCCCAGGACCCATGCCAGAACAGTTCTCAAAGCCCTGCTCGCCAAGAACTCAAAGTTTTTGACAGGATAGTCGAGACCTGACGTCAGCCTGAGCACTGGAGGATACAAAAAAGAATGTCCACACTGAGTTTGGCCACTGTGTTCTCTCTTGCACGGTGGTTGCCCTCATATCGTGGGTGCACTTCAACTTTTACTTGGCCCAAACTCACTCTTCAGAGCCTGTTTCTTTCCCTACCTTTAATAAAACTTTGTGCGGCCAGGAATGCAGCTCAAAAGCACAGGACCTGCCTAGCAAGCACAACGTCCTGAGTTCAATTCCGGGTATTAAAAACAAATAAATAAATAAATCTTTGCTAAGGTTTGTGCTCATCTTGACTAATTCTTTAGACAGAAAGATCCTAAAAACTATCTCCGGAAGGAGACACTTGTGCTCATCTTGACTAATTCTTTAGACAGAAAGATCTTAAAAACTATCTCCGGAAGGAGACACTGGCACCCGAAACACTAGTGTCTGTGAGTACAGAATATGCAGCAGTCAACAGCTGATGTTTATCTCTGCGGTGCGGGATCAGCTCGGGCCTTGAGGGTACCAAGCAAGCGCTGTCATGGAGCTACATCCTCACCTCCATGACCGGCTGTTAAACATGTATAAGCTGTGGCGAGATCATTCTACTACTCCAGACAGTTACACAGTGCTTCCTACTCGCCCTCTGACAATCAGAGTTCAAAGCCCTTCTGGAAGTCATACTTGATAATCGATGTAAACTTCAAAAGTGACAAATTATGCTCACCATTGATCTGTGCTCCCATTCTTATATAATTAGCTAAGAGCCTAAAGGCAAAAACATCACTGATCTTCAAGTTTCATTTTACTCCATGCACTAAAATGAACAAATTATCTTACATGCTAAGAGCTTCAACAGCTAGCAGTTATTAACATAACTTGCTGAAACATCAGAAAAACTTGAGGATGTGACCAAAAAAAATGCTGATTTCTGGAAACTAATCTTAAAAGAAATAATGAAGGATTACCTGCCAAAAAATGCAACTTTCATGTGTCTCCGAGATAGCACCTCGCCAATAACAGAAAGCTTGTTTTTATACCCCTGGATTTCCAGCAGATCCTCCTCAGTGGCTATTTGGTCAAATTCTGGATTCCTATGCGTTGCTGTAAAATTGAAATGATATTAGAAAAAGGAACACAAATATTGTTAATTATACAGTGCAATACCTAAAGTTGCATATATTTTGTCTTTGTTCCCATAACATGCCATATGAAATCGAAAAATGCTTGTAGTATCTGGGTATTTGGTAACGAGCACATCCCCCACTGCAATGTCCAGAAGAATTAATAGCAAATTACCTACACAGCCTGGGTTTGAAAAGTGGAAAAACCTTTTGTTTTCTTTCAGGAATAGGAGATAAACTGACATTTACATTCTTATCACCTCTTTTAGAAGGTAAAGACACAGGCTCACCTGGCTACTTAGAGTTGAACACTGCCATTTAAAACACTACCCAGTGTTCATTTAACTAAAGCTAAGCTAACAGAAAGAATGACTAAGTATGATTATACTCACTTTAGGTTTCATTTTATTCTTGCTTTTCCATCTTCCTGGTTTATTTTGCGTTGCCTCTTTGATGGGTGGAGGCACAGTTACTGGGGATTGAACCCACAGCCTTCACACATCGCCAACCCTTTTTATTTTTTGAGACAGGATTCTCACTATATTGCTGAGCTGCCCAGGCTGGACTTTGATCCTGCTGCCTCAGCCTTCCAGAGTTCTGAGATTATAGGCCTGGGCTATCCTACTTAACTTCATTTTTCTCTCTTTTTTAATTTACCTGTTGTTTTTTTTAAATTTGTTTCTAGGAACATTTTTTTCTGAGGTTCTACAACCAGTAAAATTGAATTCTGATTCTAAAATTGCCTTTTTACTCATTCCTCATACTTAATCTGTAACAGGCTCAATACACAGATGTTACAGTTAACTTCGTTTTCATTTACCAACTTTTTTAGAAAAAAAATACTTTTCAAAAGTCATTGTGCCAGGTGTGACGGCACACATCTGTAATCTCAGCATTCTGGAGGCTGAGGCAGGAGGATCACCACATGTTCCAAGCCAGCCTGTGCTATACAGTGAATTCAAGGGCAGCCTAAACTGCATAGTGAGACCTCGTCTCAAAAAAAAAAAAAAAAAGAAAAAAGAAAAAGAAAAAAAAGGGTATATGGCTTTCCTCAGGTAACCCACCCTGCTTCTCTGGTGCGTTCTCTTATCTTGCTTTTACTCAGCCCACTCTCACTCTGCAGAGCCAGTTTCTCCCTTGTTCTTCACTTTCACTTCTCAGATAGATTTTGCCACTGTTTTTTGCTCATTTTATTCAATTCTTTATTCGAGATCAGAAGAACCTAGACTCTAACTCCAGAAGAGAGACCAGCAACCCAGAACCTGGTAACATGTAACTGGTGAGCCACTTTTGGAAGGAGCTACCTGGTACCATTTTGGCATTGCCAGGAGATTCCAATGACAGTGCAGAAAAAGATTACAGAGGTACTTTCATTATCACATTAAACAAGATTTTTTTTTAAATGGGGGGAAAAAAGTCATTGTGCCACATCAATTTCTTTCCAAACTGGAAACAAAGATACTATACCAAGCTGGGAATGGTAGTGCATGCTTGTAATCCTGGCACTCTGGAAGGCTGAGAGGCAAGAGGACTGCAAGTTTAAGCCTAGCCTAGGTAACTCAGCAAGACCTCAACTCAAAATAAAGAGGGCAATTTCTTTCCCTTTCACAATATCTATTGTACCTTTCAGGTTTTATTTACTCTTTCAGGTTCTCACACTAGGGAGACAATCTGATGTTTACACATGCTGGTCTGATTTATTTCACTTATAAGTATGGTCTCTAGTGGCATCTATTTACCTACAAAAGCCTCAAGTTTATCTTTTTAATAGCTGAGTAATACACCATTGTATAAAAATACCACATCTTTTTATCTATTCCAACAAAAATTTTCAAAAATTAAAAATAAATAAAAATAAAAAGGGGCCAGGGACATAGCTTATAGCAAAGGCCCCAGTAGTGCATGCACATGATTCTATACCAGTAATTTTTAAAAATCTCATTCAACAAAACTTGAAATTTAGTTTTCTTCTTTTTTTCTTTTTTGAGACAGGGTCTTGCTGTGTAGTACAGGCTGACCTCAAACTTGTGGCAATCCTCCTACCTCAGCCTCCCAAATGCTGGAATTACAAGCATGTGCCACCATGCCCAGCTGAAATGTGTTGAATTAGGTACTAAAAACAAACTAAGATAGGGTTGCAGCCCTGAGGAGCTCAAAACCTGGTAAGAGAAGGTTAGAGAAACAAGAAAAAAAAAGCTTGAGTCTATGAACTTATCACAATCTCAAAAGAAATTTCAACAGTTATCTCCAAATTAATATATCCTGATAAGATATTTAAAGATATCACCTTTGTTTGAACAACTAGTTACACAACCTTTTTTTTTCTTTTTGAGACAGGGTCTCATTATGCAGTTCAGGCTGGCACTGAACTGTAGTGATTCTCCTGCCTCAGCCTCCCAACTGCCCGTATTACAGGCCCACAACACCACACCAACACTTTTTTTTTTTTGGTCTTTCTGAGACAGGGTTCAGGCTGGCATTGGGCTCACTCTGTAGCCCAGGTTGGCCTCAAACTTGCAATAGACAAGACATAAGCCATAATGATGGCTTTTTAACTTCTCAAGTCACCATAAGATAGGTTGTAATCATTGCTTTTAAAGATTAAGGAACCAAGGCACAATAGATAAAACGCTTGTCTAACATCACATATCTACTAAGTACTCAAATGAAAAATCAAGCAGTCCACTGTTAGGTGTAGTCTTTATACCTGTCTCCTCAATTTACCAATTAAGCCAAGAATTCAGACTTAGCTCTTCCTGTCAAATGAGGGAAACAGGTAAAAGAAGCCTTAAAATGTTGTTGGTGCTTGGCATGGTGGTGGAAGCCTGTAATCCCAGCACTCAGGAGGCTGAGGCAGGAGGATCATTGCAAGTTGGAGGCCAGCCTGGGCTACAGAGTGAGCCCAAGGCCAGCCTGAACTGCATAGTGAGACCCTGTCTCAAAAAGATTAAACAAAACAAAACAAAAAAAAAGTAATTATTTTTTAATTATTATACCATTTAATCCTCCTCCAGAAGGCAGAAATGGGCTTTATTTGTTATGGAATCCCTCACAGTACACACCACAATGTCCTATACGTGAATTCGATACCTAGACACCTAAAGCAGAAAAAAACCACCTTTATATACTTTCAACAATAATCATTTTGAGAATTTAAAGGAACAAACCTTCAACAAAATGGGATACTTCAGTAACAAACTCTAGCAACTGGCCAAAGATTGTAGTAATTGCCTTCTTAGCCAGCACGAAGTGCTTCAGCGGAGAAGCGGTTTCGGCCATTATGCCTCTGGGAGAGAAAACAAGAGTTAGAAAAGCAATCATTAGCCCACAAGGTGGGGCACAGGGTCTGAGGCAGGACTTTTGCTCACGGCTAGGAGTTCAAGGTCAGCCTGTGCAACCTGGCAGGGCGATCTCAAAACACAAACGTTTCAAAGGGCTGGAAGTGCAGCTCAGTTGCTGAGCACTTGTGGAGCCTGCATTCAATCCCCAGGGCCCCTCCCCCGAAAGAAAAAGGAAAGTACTAATTAAACTGAACAATGAAGACAGTTAGGAGAACTTTCCCTCACTCCTTCACTCCCCACTGTGATAAAACTACCAAAATATTATCAGGCAACGGTATTTCCAGGAGACACTGTTGTCGTCAGAAACCAAAGCCTAAATTTTGCCAAAACCTTTACTTCCCTCTGGTGAAGATGAAACTAAGCCTGGCTGCACTGCAACTGCGTGTGACTCTTAAACACACCCAGGGAACCGGGTTAGGGAGAGGAAGCCAAGTGCACTGCAATAACCAAGTTACTAAGTTTCCCAACCTGGAGCTCTGTTAGAGTGGAGGCGGACACAGACAGGGAGAAAATAAAATCTCAAAAGCGCCGTGCAGTACTGTGGATTTGGCAGAAGTGGCTCTCATCACAACCAGAGAGGCAAGCCTTAACGGAGGCATTCACGCTTCCGGCCAAAGTACCCGAAACTTCCAAGGAATGAAGTTTAAAACAATTTTCTTCTCTCCGGAGGCTAGGGGAGACCAAAAACACTCCCAGCCAGGTGTAATCGGTGCGCGCGTGGAAGCGAGCACGGGGGCCACCGGGGACCCACTCAGGGCCGAGGGACCGCGCGAGGCGCAGCGTCCCGAAACGGGGCGGCCGGCGGGGCCGGGGACACCCACCTGGGG